AGAAGAAGAGGGGCTGTATTGGGGGGAGCACGGGGGCATCTGCGCCTGGATGAGGAGGGCAGTGCCTGGGCTTATGGCCCTGTGTGCACCAGTGTGTGCCTGTCCCTCGCCCACACAGACCACACAGTTCCCCAGCTCCCTCCTGCTGTGGTCAGAAGGCCTACGGCCAGGCCTATGGTCGACATCTCTGGGCTCTGAACTCACCCCTCAGCTATGCCCCCTGGACAATGGGGTTCTTTCTGCACAAGATGGGCACGAGGGACCCTGTCATGGACTAGTGACCTGAGGGACAGGGCTGCCCCAGGGCATGTCCCAGCCTTGGTCACACTTGTAGACATTGGCTGGCCTTGACCCAGGGTGGACCAAAGAGAAAGAGACCCTCTTCTTTTTGCCTGTCCCAGGAAGGCTTCCTGGAGGAGGCAATTCAGTGCTTTCCCCAACTCTATCACATGCCAACCTATGAGTTTTTAGCTGGCATGCACGAGGCCCTCTCGGCACAATCAGGAGATTGAACAGGCACCTGCCAGGGAGCTTACTTGTCTTCTGTGTCAACACTCAGGTCCTTGTGGGTAAATACCCAGTGGATGGCTGGGAGTTCAGCTAGAGGAAGAACCACATCCACATCTGATGGGAGAGATGCCCTGCCCCAGGGAACCAGTCCGGGAACAGCCTTTGAGCATGGGAGGGGACAGATGAGGAAAGGGCTCCTCCCATCAAGAGAACGAGCGAAGGGTTTCGTAGGGGGAAGATGGGGGGACTGCTCAAGTAGGGGTTGTCTGGGCCTGGGGAGATACCTGGTGGGGACTGAATGGAGGGTGAAGGTGCAGGGAAGAGCTTCAGGATGGCCACAGAACTGGCACAGAGAGACCAGTCTCAGCCCCGCGGTAACACAGCACAGGAGGGGAAGGCACTCCATTTTAGCCCAGGTTTCTGACTTGAGCCCAAAGCCCTTTCACATCCTCTTCCCCCTTCGCCTGCAACCCACACCCCTGGGCGGCCAGAGATCAGTGGGGGGCAGGAAGCACCGTTCCAGCCGCTCAGCGCCCTTGGCCGGACAGCTGTTCTGCGCAGCTGCTGGGGGCTCTGGGGGCTGCGGCGGATTTGATTTGATTCAGGCCCCAAAATAGCCATTGTAGCAGGAAGCGGCCCCTTCCCCCAAGCCCTCCAGGACACTCCATCCGGGGGCTGAGTTGACACCTTAGAAGTTCTGCCCCCTCCCCGTCTCCCCGCACTTATCCCCTGGTCTCCCGAGACCCACTTTTTTCTCCCCTTAGCCCACAGCCGCAGCCGTTCGCCTTGCACCTCTCCTGTGTCCAGCGCATCTCCACACTCCCCTCCTCCAGGAAGCCTGCCCTGGTCACCCCTGCCCCCATCGAGCCCGCACCGGCTCTGCGCCCACACACGATCCCAGCCCTCCCCCACCCCAGCCCTACTCTTCAGGGGCCATGGGGGGATGTCTAGAGCTGGGGGCCTGTGGCCAGGCACGGGCGGGCTGCAGAGGGCACACAAAGACGCGGACTGCCCTGGCCTTTGATGAGTAATCGCTGTTCCCTGGAGCCACGATTCCACTCTGCCGCTTCAGCCCCTCAGCCCCCTCCCCCGTCCAGCTCCTCAAATAAGACTCGTTTTTGTTCTGAGGACACAAAGCGAGAAAATGTCACCCAGGGGGTGTGCCCCCTGGCCCCAGTCCTGACAACCAGAGCTCTTAATCACCCTGCCTCCTTCCCCTGCAGCGTCCCTCCAGCAGCTGGCCGAGCGGTGGGAGGGGGTAGGAAGAGGGGCAGGGGAACCAGTGACCACCTTCTGGGGCTGAGACTTCCTCCAGCTTGAGGTCTTAGACGTTCATTTTCTTCCCTCCCTCCCTTCACTTGACTGGCAGCTCCTGCAACAGCACCTCACGAAGGCCTGGACCTTGGCACTGGGTTCTTGGTTCTGTCTCCATCAAAGCCCACCAAGGTCCCCGAAACAGGAGAGGTGGACAGGAGCCTCAGAAGTGCACCAAAAACTCTAGACAGCGCTGCACCAGAGAACTGCGTCAAAGCTTAGATCAGTGCCATAAAGAAAGTGAAAGAGAGCGGCAGAGGGTGATGGTGAGGGGCAGGAGGTAGAGTCATCTCTCTTGTCAGAAACATCTTTGAGCTTATCTCACATGATCTCTGAGCTGAGACCTTGACGGAAAGAGGAGCTGGTTTGCACAGATTTGGGGAGTGTGGCTCCTCTGCAAAGGCCCTGTGGCCTGTGGTGGTGTTAAGGGTTGGCTTGGGCGAGGCGCGGTGGCTCACGCCTGTAATCCCAGCACTTTGGGAGGCTGAGGCAGGTGGATCGCGAGGTCAGGAGTTTGAGACCAGCCTGGCCAACATGGTGAAACCTGTCTCTACTAAAAATACAAAATTAGCTGGGCGTGGTGGTATGAACCTGTAATCCCAGTTACTTGGGAGGCTGAGGCAGGAGAATCGAACCCAGGAGGTGGAGGTTGCAGTGAGCAGAGAATGTGCCACTGCACTCCTGCCTGGGTCACAGAGCGAGACTCCATCTCAGAAAAAAAAAAAAAAAGGATTGGCTTGGAAGGACAAACCCTCCCCATTCCATTATCTAAGCATCCCATCATTTGTCCCAAATAAATACAGTCTTTATTGCCGCACCCCACCCCCACCAAAATATAGTCTAAGTAAGAAGGATATGCTTGCTACGTAGACCCAGCTCTAAACAAGTTCCCTGGCTCCCTTTCCACCCAAAGGCTGCCCCTAAACTCCTGTACAGAACAGCTGAAACCTTCACTGCTGAGGCCTTTTCCTCTCTTGATTCCCAGGTCTCGTACAGTCTGGTCTTCCCTTCCTCCAGCACCTACGCCCACCTGCTCACTTTTCTCCCTCTCCACCACCCTCCACCGAACCCCAGTCCCCATTCCTGCACTTCGGCAGCCTCTAGCTGCTCTCTCAGCTCCACTTTTGTCTTCTACAATGCATTTGCCATGGAGCAGACAGAGCAATCTTTATAAAATGAAAATCAGATCACGTCACTCCCTTGTTTAAAAGCCTCCAAAGACTTCTCACGGCTTTGAGAATGAATCGCAAATTCTCCTGTAAGTAAAAGTAGGGAGGATGGAAGGATTCACATAAGATAAATGTTTATGGACCCTCGCTGTATATGAGAGAGGGACCAAAAAATAGATGACAATGACAACCATGGAGATGATAATACATCATTCTGAGGAGTGTGGTTGATTGATTAAATCTGTGTACCTGAGATCCAGTAAGAGAAAAATCATCTCAACTCTATATTTTTGGTTCACAAAGCCCTACTTGGTCTGGCCTCCACCCATGTCCCCCATCTCATCTCCTACCATTTTCCCGCTCCCTTGTTCAGTGGGCTCCAGCAGAGAAAACAGGAAGCGTGCAGTTTCCCACACCACTCATGCATGCCTTCGTTCATTCATTCAACGCACGTATGAAATCCCTACCACACACCAAGCATTGGCTAGATGTGGAGATACAGAGCTAAATAGGGACTTACGGTCTAGTGCAGGAGGCAGATAGATTCTAAAGAAATATAAGAAGGGTGATGGAAACCTTGCCTGGGACAGTTGGGAATGGCTGAACAACCTTGAGCTCAGTCTTCAAGGAGAAGTCCAAGTTCACCAAGCAAAGATCAGGGCCGTAGTTCTTGGCTGAGGGGACTGTGTTTGCAAAGGCAAGAACCCTGAGAGAACACAGGCGGATCAGAGGGTGGGGAGAAATGTGGCGTGGACGGGCCCAGGAGCGTGCTGGGAAATGAGCCTGGACTGGGAAGCAAGGGTCAGACCATGAATGGACTTGGAAGCCTCATTAGGACTTGGGATTTATCTTTAGGCCACGAGGCTACAGCCAAGATTTTAAAGCAGGGATGTGCATAATCAGATTTGTGCTTTAGAAAGAGCTCTCTGGCAGCAGCATAGATAGATGATAGATTGGAGAGAGGACAGACTGGAGTCAGAGAGACCAGCCGGTTCCGGAAAGAAATGATGAAGGCCTGAACCAGGGCAGGGGCAGCGGGAGAAAGGAGAGGTGGGCACATTCAAGGTAAGCCTGTCTGGGCTTTTTGGCCACATGAATATGGAAAGAGAAGGTGGGAGAAGAGAAGATGTGATGTTTACACCCAGATTTCAGGCTTGGGGGATTGGGAGGGTGCTGGGCCACCCCCGAAATGGACAGCAGCCTGGAGTGGGGGTGGACAGCTAAGCCTTGGGCACATTGGGGTGCAGGTGCCTGAGGGATGCGCGGGTGGAGGGATCTGGTTGAGTTGGAAACAGTCCGTGCTTGGAAATAAAACGTGCACTGGAGAGAGAGACCCAGGTGATGCCAAGAGTGTGGATCTTGGCACAGGTCTCCTAGTTTCTCTGCCTCTCACACCTGCCAGAGGAATGTCTCTGCATTGGGGGTGAATGTAGGGGCAGGAAGCTCTGTAATGGGACCAGCTGGTGGCGTGCACTTGCAGAAATCAGGAAAGGCCAAGGATAGAGGGGAAGGGGCAGCACCAGGAATCACTGGACTTCAAAATCCCTGTAGTGACGCCTTAGAAAACATCTGGCTAGGCCAAGCGTGGTGGCTCACGCCTGTAATCCCAGCGCTTTGGGAGGCCAAGGCAGGCGGATCACTAGGTCGGTGGTTCAAGACCAGCCTAGCCAACATGGTGAAACCCTGTCTCTACTAAAAATACAAAAATTAGCCAGGCGTGGTGGCGGACACTTGTAATCCCAGCTACTCTGGAGGCTGAGGCACAAGAATCGCTTGAACCTGGGAGGTGGAGGTTGCAGTGAGCCGAGACCCAGCTTGGGCAACACAGCGAGACTCCGTCTCAAAACAAAAACAAACAAACAAACAAAAATATCCGGCTAAACAAAGCTGGCATTTTACAGTTGAGAAACGGAGGCTCAGATGGGTAGAATGACTTTACCCAAACGGCCCCCCTAATTTGCCCACCCTCTGGGTTGGCGAGGTAAAGTATAGATTTGCTTTTGACTTATGCACAATCTGTCTACGGCCATAGACCTGGATTCCCGCTGCCCACCACCACCACGTGTGGCAGAGAAGGAGACAGCCAGGGCCCAGGTCAAAGGGGAAGTGTTCGGGGGCAGGGTGGGCGACACGCTGACCGCTCTCACTTCCCACCTGCTGGATGCTCCCTGTCCCTAGAGGGGGGCCACCATGCAATCCACTCAAGGACACTGGCTCCTCCTAGCGGATGTAGGGAGCATTACTTTTTGTCCCAGGTCAGCTTGGAAGGCAAGTCCCTGGAGCATAGGACCTCAGTACCCTCTGACCAGTCACTGAATTGGGCCCAGTCCCAGTTGCTTATCTCCCAGCAGAAACTCCACCTCCCCATATAGGAGACATTTTCTCTGGCCGGAGCTGAGACTTGACCCCAGCAAGACTCCTTCCCAGACCACATCTGGGGTGCTTCTGCAGCGTCTGGTGAGGAGGCAGGAGGCTCGAGCCATCCACAGCCCGCCCTGTCCCATCCAAATGCTTCTGGCCAGCCTGAGAGCCCCTTGGGGCCAAGTGCTGGCTTCACCTCTGTTTCCTTAGAGTCTGACACACGGCCTCTCATGTACTGGGTGCTCCACACTTAGCCACTGCCTCATCCCTTCTGGTCTGGGTCCCTGCAGGCCCGTCTCCTGCCCTGACCCCTCCACCTGACCTCTAGAGAACACAGGGGACTCAGAGCCCTTCCCGGGGCTTTGTCAGCACTTCCCAGAGTCCATCTGTTTTCTTTTTCCACATGGGCTTTTAGGAGCTGAAATTTTTTGCCTATTGGAAGATCCTAGGGGAGGTGAAGGGGTGTGATTTTCATGTTGAGTTAGTTGTAAGTCACCTTGAAAAAAAATGGTGAAGAAAATGGAAAGAAAGGCTGGGCGTGGCAGCTCATGCCTATAATCCCAGCACTCTGGGGGGCTCAGGCAGGCAGATCACCTGAGGTCAGGAGTTTGAGACCAGCTTGGCCAATATAGTGAAACCCCATCTCTACTAAAAATAAAATTTAAGAAAAATTAGTCAGGCGTGGTGGTGAGCAACTGTAATCCCAGCTACTTGGGAGGCTGAGCATGAGAATTGCTTGAACCTGGGAGGCAGAGGTTTCAGTGAGCCGAGATCACGCCACTGCACTCCAGCCTGGGCGACAGAACAAGAATCTGTCTCAAAAAAATAAAAAAGTTAATTGTGTGGCATCCAATTAGGATGAAATGTCTTATCACTCCTGGCTGTGACTACATTTCTGAGGATGCAGAAAGAGTCCTGTGTGAGGAGGACATCCTGCCCTGGGGATGAGCTTGGATGTGATTGTAATAGCACCTAGAATTTACATAGCCTTGAAGTGTGCTTTCATTTATTTATTTTTTTTCTTGAGGGTCTCACTACGCTGCTCAGGCTGGCCTCAAACTCCTGAGCTCAAGAAATCCTCCTACTTCAGCATCTGCAGTAGCTGGGACTACAGGTGTGTGCCACTGTGCTTGGCAACCTTGAGGTGCTTTTGTGCACCACTTTGGAGCATGAGAGCTGTGCTCGTTTTGCAGAGCAGGAAACTAAGGCCAGATGTGTTGCTCAAGATCACAGAACTGGCAAGAGCGACAAGGCTGGGATCTAACCCAGGCCTCCTGATTCTCGAGTTCGGTGGCCTTTCCCTGCAACAGAGTCTCCCTTTGCATGATCTTTGGCCTTCAGAAGCCTGCTTGGTTATCACCTCAGGCTTAGTGACCTGGGGAGAAGAGATTCACAGGACGGATGGAGTTACAAGGTCCAGCCTTCCTCCCTTCCTTCTCCAGCCCTCCTTCCCTTTCTTTCTTCTTTCCAATGAATTCTGTGCTCTGTGTGTCAGGCCCTGGGCTCTGAAGGCCAGGAGATCCTCTCTAGTCACTTCTCTGAGTGCTGGCAGCTGTGCTGTGCCAGGCGGGGAACAGCATGAAGGAAGGGAGGAGCTGATCACAAACAGCTGGTCTACCCAGGTCACTGCCCAGGAGGCCTCTGTGGACTTAGCCTCAGCTCAGGGCCCTGAGATGACAAGGACAGTGTCTCCCTATTCTGCGTGTTGGATGGCAGTGGGTGGAGTAGAACAGTGTTACCAAAGTCCCTGGAGAGCTGAAGCCATGAAGGAGGGAGGCAAGAGTGGTCCTAAAGAGGCTGCAGTCATCACTGACAGAAACACAGCCCAAAGCAAGGGGAACAAGAAGGAAATACCCGACTTCCCTCCCAGGCCGTTCCCTGCCAGGGCCTCCCACTGGCTACAGACACCTGGAGGCAGCTGCCCAGTGAGCCAGGTTGATGTAAGCCCCAGGGGCTGTCTTCTCTACTCGGAGTGCAGGACAGCAAATGCATCTGGGGATCTGGGGTTCCACCAGGAAGAACAAGCACACTCATATACACTTAGTATTCCCAGGGTCTAACACAGTGTCCGATACACAGTAGGCACTCAAGAAATACTTGGAAAATGAGGCCGGGCACGATGGCTCACGCCTGTAATCCTGGCAGTTTGGGAGGCCGAGGCGGGCGGATCACCTGAGGTCAGGAGTTTGAGACCAGCCTGACCAACATGGAGAAGGCTCATCGCCACTAAAAATACAAAATTAGCCAGGCGTGGTGTCCCATGCCTGTAAGCCACAGCACGGTCCGAAACACAAGGGCCCCAAAGATAAATTGACATGGTCCTGGCCTCCAGGAGTTTGGGGAGTGGACAAAGAAGCTGAGATACAAGTGACCTCGTGCTAAGGCAGCCACCCTGTCTGTGGGGAAGGCACAGCACTTCCAGATTTCACTGCAATAAAGAAAACAGGTGAGAGGAAGAGAATGAGCAGGACACAGACTCTGGGCACCCCACTAGCGGGCCTCTGAGAGCCATTGTGGAGGAAGGCCAGGTTACCAAGGGAAGGCAGCGTCAGGACAGGAAGAGACTCGAGCCCACCCTCGTCCCAGAGACCAGCCGACCAGTCTGCCCGCCTCCCTTCCTTCTTTACCTCCATCACCATGAGAAGTCCAAGCCTGGGTGTTCACCTAGCATCACGCTGCCTCTCAGGCCTCACATGGCTCTGCTCGTCTCCAACCCGACTCAGTCCCCAATCCCTCCCTGCCCTCACCCCCCAGTCCTCCTCGCTCATCCACCGGCCCTGTGGTGCTTCTAGTCTGTGATTGGCAAATTCTCCTCTGTCTTCATCTCTGCCCAGAACACCGCCCCACTTCCCGGCACCTCTTCTGCAGCCTTCTCAACCGGGGCTTAGAGTGGAGTAACAGTGGGCTTCTTTACTTTATTCTTGATTTTAGAAGAAAACGTTCCGACTTTCATCTCTTCCTTTTTGTCTTTTTTTCAGTTCCTTTTTGTCTTGATAGCATCTTGTTCTAGTCTCATGTATGGTAGCATCTTTCCTTTTACCTGAAGATATCAAGAATAGGGTATATTTGTTTCGATTTCCTGTGCTCCTTGTCTCTGATTCAGCCACGTTTTTTATGTTGTTTTTGTTTTGCTTTGTTTATTTTTGCTTGTTTTGATTTTCTCTTTCATGTATGGCTTTTCTCAAACGGACTTAAATCATGTGCGTCTGGTCATTTATAATAACAGGCGGCTGGTTTAGTTCTCAAATCCTTTCTTGTCGTATATTTGGCTGCCTGGCTAGAGACTACATTTTTTAATCCTCCTTTGTGACTACAGCAGGTCATGCAACCAAGTTTTCAACAATGAAATGGAGTGGAAAGTGTATATGCTGCTGCTGCCTCATTTGCTTAAAACAAAATTGCTGTCCGCAGTTTCCTCTACTTTCCCTTTCCTGCAATCTAGAACAGTTGGCCTCTGCTTAGATGAAGATAATCTTTTAGGGGATGAAAAACCAACAAAAGAAACCTGGGTCTATGAATAACCAAGGGAGCAGAAAGAAATTAGCTTGCATCTTCTTTAGTCCACTGTATTCTGGGGTCTCCTTGGAACAGCAGTTTAGACTTTAACTAATATCCCAACTAATACAAGCACTGAAAAGCTGATTGGAAGCGTATGTGCATCAGTGTGTCAATGTTAACCAGTGGTGAGTTTTACTCCAAGGAGCTTCTCCACGTATAATCCACATAACCCTGCTGGTCCTTGAGACCCTTTCAGGGGGTACTTGAAGGCAAAATTATTTTTGTGATAATACTAAGCCATTATTTATTTTTTACATTTGCATTCTCTCCTGACTGCAGTAGAGTTTTTCAGAGGCTGCATCACTTATGATAGCAAAACAAATAGAATGAAGAATCCGAGATAGACAAAAATGTCAAACAATGTCACTTTTCTCACTAGATAGTTTTGTTTGAGAAACTATTGTAATTTTTCACAATATTATGTAAACACGTAATGGGTTTCTTATTGTTATTCTTTTTTTTTTTAGACAGTCGTGCTCTGTTGCCCAGGCTGGAGTGCAGTGGCACAATCACAGCTCACTGCAGCCTCGATACCCCCACACTCAAGCAATCCTCCCACCTCAGCCTCCCAAGTTGATGGGACAGGTGTGACGCCATACCTGGAAAATTTATTTTTTGTAGAGACAGCATCTTTGTATATTGTCCAAGCTGGTCACAAACTCCTGGGCTCAAGTGATCCTTGTGCTTGAGCCTCCCAAAGTGCTGGAATGACTGGTGTGTGCCACTGTGCCTGGCCTGTCATTCTTAAGCGGGTAACATTTAATTATTTTGTTTTAATTTGAAATATATATAATTCCTATTTTAAGGTTCTTTGCAGTACTTAGCAACTTTTAAAAATATGAAGGCATCCTAAGATCCAAAAGTTTAAGTATCTGTCATGTTTGTTGCTGCTGCCAGCCACTCACGCATACCATCCGGGGGCCTTAGAACAGGTCCACCCTGCCCAGTACCATGCTGTTTTGGTTACTATAGCTCTGCAGTATAATTTGAAGCCAGGTAATGTGATTCCTCTAGTTTTGTTCTTTTTGCTCAGGATAGCTTTGAATATTCAGGGTCTTCTGTGATTCCATATAAACTTTGGGATTTTTTTTCTTCTGTTTTTGTGAAGAATGCCATTGACATTTGGATAGGCATTACATTGAATCTGTAGACTGCTATGGGTAGTATGGGCATTTTAACAATATTGATTCTTCCAATCTATGAACATGGAATATCTTTACATTTTTTGTGTCCTCTTCAGTTTCTTTCACC